ATTAAATGAAGCCTGCTGCATGTCTGAACTCCCCAAACACTTTATAATTCTCATATGGCTCGTGTTTTACCTTGGTTACTGGGCCACGTTGGGAAGCTTGTCTCAGCCTCAGAGGAGGACTATCTCCATCTTCCGAACGAGCAGCAGAAGCACTCCATCAATGCTCAAGCTGAATGAGATGTAAGGGAGAGATAAAGAGGAAAAAATCTGATTAACATCCTAAAAAAAGTTTAGAATGACTTTATCCAGAAGAATCAGCTGATGGTTGTTCAAATTATATACCAATGTGGATAGTTGTTGGTCAGCAACTGTGGTTTCAATTTACTACAAACTCTTGTCTTAGCAACGTTTCTTTGTTAAGGGAATTCCCAGCAAGTTTTTCTGGCTCTAAGAAGTTAAGTGATGCCAAATTAATAAATGAAATACTTGGGGGAAAAAAGCTGAGGTATTACAGAAACTTAAAAAGTCAACATAATGCATAGGAATAAAATACTTAGTAGAAAAATATGCAGCAGATAAAAACATGCAGGAAAAAAAAAAAAAAAAGCAGCACCAGAAACAAGTATCTTATGTCTGACTCCTCCTGGAAAGAATTCTAATTAAGTTAGCTTCATGTGTGCTGGTTACATGGCTCCACTTACTTGCCATGACTTTGGTCAAGGTAGTCAGTCGTCCCAAACCTCTATACCCACTTTGAAACATTAGCTATTACTTTGGGTTTTTATAAAGACTGAGACAATACATGTAAAATGCTTAGTGTGGTGAATGACAGGAATTGTGTTAAGCAAATGTTAGTGACCAGCGTAATTAAAGTTTGGAAACAACTTAAGTATCCGTCAATAAGGGGTCCAAATAATAAATCATGGTGTACCCATAAGATGGAGTACCATGTAACTCTAAAAGAGAATGTGAAAGATCTTGACATACCAATATGGAAAGGTCTTAAGATACTAAACTTTTTTTTAAGTTTAGCAGCGTTTATGGTATAAAGTACTTTTCATAAAAATAACACACTCATATATGCTCTTTTGAAATCAATACCAGAGGTGTACTTAAGAAACATGACCGGCAATTATCTGGCAGTGGAGGTGGAGGGCCAAGAGATGGGAAAGATTGGGGAGATTTTTCAGTGAATATTTTTTTAACAACTTTTTGGTTCTCAAATTGTATGGCTGTATTACCTATTCACAAAAGTTACTTTTTTTTTTTAAATTTTTTAAAAAATTTGACAGAGATCACAAGCAGGCAGAGAGGCAGGCAGAGAGGGAGAAGGAAGCAGGCTCCCCGCTGAGCAGAGAGCCCGACGCTGGCTCGATCCCAGCACCCTGGGATCATGACCAAAGCCGAAGGCAGAGGCTTCAACCCACTGAGCCACCCAGGCGCCCCACAAAAGTTACTTTTAAAAAGCAGTTCATCTTTTGAATACATGTATCTGGTGTGGATTGTCTCGGACTGAAATCCACAAGAACCAGGACTTGAGCGCTTGACTCACCATGACAGCTTTTCTCTTAATATTCGAGCGTACTCCTTATCAGAAGAAATGGGATTTGCTTACCTAGGAACAGGACAGTGGGCCTTCGCCTTCCTTCACACAGCGCAGTCCTGGACTTAATTGTTACAGCATCTGTTCCTTTCCTTCATGAAAGGAGAATCTAGGAAACCAACTAAAGGTTCACAAGTGAAGTGGAGAAAGTGAACACTGGCTGTGATGTAACTAGAAAGTAACACTCTCTTCCTTTGTTCTGCTGCCTCAGAAAAGGTAGTGAAAATTTTAAGTCCTTCAACGACTGTTTATGGGCTTTTTTTTTTTTTTAAAGATTTTATTTATTTGACAGATAGAGATCACAAGCAGGCAGAGAGGCAGGCAGAGAGAGAGAGAGGAGGAAGCAGGCTCCCTGCGGAGCAGAGAGCCCGATGTGGGGCTCGATCCCAGGACCCTGGGATCATGACCTGAGCCGAAGGCAGAGGCTTTAACCCACTGAGCCACCCAGGCACCCCTGTTTATGGGCTCTGAAGACAGTTAGAGTAAGACAAGCACGACAAGCTCAGATTTCCCGAGGATAGATACTGGATTTGTTTTCCTCTTTCACCTTATTACTCTCTGGTCAAGACGATCCGACCGCCAAGTGCCAGGTGCCCCGCGTGGTGGACCCGGCGGCTGTGCTCCTGCTTCCTGCAGCTTCTGTTTCAGAGACGAACAACATCGTGTTTTCTTTGGTTTTAGCATTTTAATCACAGTGATTAAGAGCGGGACAGAAGTCACTTATCCAGAACATTCGCATTTTATAAATTATTTTTATTGTCATTTTATGGTTTTAAAAAAAAATACATGGCATGACTATAAAGTAATGAGACGAGTTTTCATGTGTGGCTTGTACTATGGAGTCTCATTAGTATATAGTCACATCCTGTCTAGAGCTTGGAAGAAAAATATGCCTTGGCTATATGATTATCAATTTTGTTACTTAAAATTTATTGGGTGCCAACAGAGCACTAGGCACATATATAACACAGAATTGTACAGTCTCTATGTTGTAGACTATATTATTTACATAGATTTCTCAAAGATAACATTAAAGCATGTATTTACAGAACTTTAGACAAAATAACAATACTGGAAATCAGCAAGTTTCTGTCTAGCGAGGAGCACCTTTTCAGGAAGGAGAGAGGGTTATGCAGAACTTATTGTGCAAGAGCACTTTGATTCCATTACCCAGAAAGTCCACAGAATTTCATTATATAATAGTTCTATAAAGCTGTACGAGAAACACCTAGGTGGGAAGCCATAATTGGTTATATTAGGTCAAATATATTTGGAAAATTCTCTGCTGAGACCAATGCTCAAAG